AATAGGGGGGTAACATGTTCACAGTAGTGGAATTTGGGTAAAGGTGGTGTAAGGGTGTACTTTATACTTTACACATGGAAGTAATTTCCAAATGAAAAAGTGAGAGAAGGACAACCAGTTTACTACTTTATTTTGCTCATGATTTTGTGGATCAGGAAGGGCTGGTCTGGGGTCTCTCATGCAGGTCTCTCAGAGGTCAGGAGCGACTGCCTTCAGGTGAAGGTTCGGCAGTGTTGGGTATCCAAGATGTCTCCCGAGGCTGGCAGTTGATGCTGGAGGTCTACTGGAGCTCAGCTGGACCTCTGACTTGCATGCTTACATGTGGCCTTGCTAGCATGGGAGTCTTAGGGTAGCCAAACTTCTTACTTTGTTTCTCCCAGAGTGAGAATCCCAAGAGAACAGGTGGAAGCTGCATGGCCTCTTCTGACCTAGCCTTGGAAGTTATATAGCATCTTTTCTGCTGTATTCTGTCGGTTCCAAGGAAGTCACCAGGTAGTGTCCAAGAATTCGCCCTCATGTTCCAAAACTGTGATGGAAGCTTACTACATGCCAGGCACTGTTTTATGTGCCTTCTAGGTATTAACTCATTTTATTCTTGCTGAAAAACAACAACAACAACAGCAACAAAACAACCCTTATGGTAAGTAGCCTTACTGTCCTTAGGAAAGACAAAACTTGGGGTACAGAGTTTCAGTTCCCAACATTAGTGGAAGAGCTAGGATTTGAATCCAGACAGTTTGGCCCCAGAGCCTATGGCCTTTTCTACTACCTGATACTACCTCTACATAGAGCTGTGATTCCTGCTACATTTGGTTAAACTGCCATACACATAGATAATCACTTAAAAAAAAGATTTATTTCTTTATTTGAGAGAGAGAGAGAGAACTAGTGGGAGGGTTAGAGCAAAGAGAAGAGAGAATAGCAAGCTGACTCCCCACTAAGCGGGGAGCCCAAGGTGGGGCTCGATTCCAATACCCTGACATGAGGGCCTGAGCAGAAACCAAGAGCTGGAGGCTTAACCAATTACACCACCCAATGCCCCTATAATCCCTTTCGGCTCATAATCACTGGCATGCAAACTTCCCCAATACATTCCAAATCACATGACATAATTCTTATCTTCTGAGCTCTGACTTTTGTACACGCACTTTCCTTTCTCTGGAATACCTTTCTTCTAATTATTCACCTGTCTCTATTATTTATTCTTCAGATCTTTTAGGAAGCCTTCCTTGACCACTCAACTCTCGGGGGAATGCTTCTGCTATGGGCACACATGCTGCATGGTGCTTAATGGTTACAGTGCTTATCATTATGCCTGATAATTTTGTCGTTGTCCTGGCTGTCTCCCCCACTGGACTATAAGTTCTCTGAGGGCAGGGATGCGGCTTTGTTCAGGAGAGGATCTCTAGCACTGGGTAAATGTCTGGTATGTACTGTGTCCATAATTACAAACTAACCTCTCACTTACACTCCTCTAGACAATGACCACATATTTCTCACACATAAATGCAGCCACTAGGATGCTCTCCTGACATAAACAAAACCTGTCCCATTTACTCTCATCCATGCACCCTCAATCACTGTGACATCCCCCATGCTCACTCAGTCACTGTCACGTTCCTCCCCCACCCTCCCCGCTGCAACCCATCACACACACAACTACTGTGACACAGTTCCGATCCTCAATCACTGTCACACACTATTTTTCACACAATCACCGTCACCATCTGTATTCTTAAAACAGGATATTTACTCTCCTACAAAAACTGAGTTAAGATGACAACAGCTCTCTTTTTCACAATGCCTTCACATACTGTATTTTTTCATCCACGGAATCCCTGACAATCCCTGACATTGCACAGTTATGGTCACACTCCGTCTACTGTCTTCCTCCCGCTCCCACTTGACACCCACTCCTCCTACACGCGCACGCGCGCGTATACACGCGCGCATAGACACACACACACACACACACACACACACACGCACACTCACTGTTAAGGGATCGGAGGGGTCCGGTCGCGGGGGTCTGAGTCGCCCTCTGTCAGCGCCTGAATCTCACTCCCACACCTTACACCCTCACAGTCACTCCCGCGCTCCCTCAACTCACTCTCACTGTCGAGGGACCCCAGGGGCGGGTCCGCGGGGGTCTGAGCCGCCAGGGGTCAGCGCCGGAGTCTCAGCCCAGGCCAGCGCGGCCCCGCCCCGCCCCGCCCTCTCATGCATATGCAGCATCTCAGCCTCGCAGCCCGGCCCCCAGACGGCCATTTGTAGCGGCGCTGGAGGCAGCGTTCGGCAGGCGCTGCGGAGACGTGTGGAGGAGCGCGCGCCCCCCGGCCGCTGCCGCCCCTGGCCCCTGCGGTCCTCCCGTTCCTCCGCGCCTCGGGCGGGACCCGGCCAGCCCGGGCGCCGCGCTGCCGCCCGGAGCGGCCCTCCCGGCAGCTCCCGGCGCCCGGGACCCCCGCCCGCCGCTCGCCCGCAGCCCGCCGGCCGCACACGTCTCCGGAGCCGGGCCTAGGGCGGGCAGCGGCTTGGCGTGGCCGGGCGGGCTCGGCGGCGTCCCCATGGCCGCGGCCGGCTGGCGGGACGGCTCCGGCCAGGAGAAGTACCGGCTCGTGGTGGTCGGCGGAGGCGGCGTGGGCAAGTCGGCGCTCACCATCCAGTTCATCCAGGTGCCTGGAGCGGGCCTGCCGGGGGCGCCGGGGCGGCGGCGGGCGCGGGCTCGCGCTACCTGTGGCGGGGCGGCTGCCGCGACCCCGCCCCAGAGGCGCCGCGCGGGCAGGGGGCGATTGGGGGGGCGGTGGTGCGGGCCGGGCTCTGCCCCCCTGCCCTGCGGCGGTGGCGCCGCGCTCCTGCCTGCCCGGCGCCCTGGTCGGCGTCCGGGGAGTCGGGCTTCTCAGGAATGTGTCCGGGAGGGCGGAGCTGGCAGGGTGGGAAGCGCCGATCCACCTTATCGCTCCGGTCTGGGCCGAGCCTCCCGGGAGGCTGCGCCGCCGCGCCCGGCTTCCTGCCCCGCGGCTGGGTCTCGGGGCGTCGGGTGCGGGGCTGCAGCCCCTCGCGCTGGGCTTTCAGCCGTTGCGGCCGCCTCCTGCACCGTCGGTGAGATCGCGGTAGCAACTTGGCCGCAGCTCCGCGTGGTTTGCGGGTTTCTCCGCGCACGCTGAGCCCGAGCTGCCGGCTTCGAGCTGTGTGTTTCTCTTTGTGTGTGTTTGTGCTTTTCTTTTAAGTAATCTCTTAGGTAATATGTCCGGGTGGGAGTGTGTGATAATGCCCGAGGGAAATGGTGGCTTCGAGGAAGTTAAGAATGTTCTCCGATCGGGGTGAGACCATTTCCTAGGAATTCCTGGTGCCTTCCTGCTTCTCGCTTTGCCAAGGTGAAGTTTGGGATGGGCCAGGCTAGGAGATGACCGACCCGGGCGTGCCTTCCCTATCTGTTCCAACTACCCACTCCTCCACTCCCAGCTCTCTCTGGTTGGTAGAGGCGAAAGTCAGAGCTTGTGGTAAAGAAGAGGGCGGTGGAATTCTTCATTCTTAGGATTTGCTCTTGTTAAGAGGTTTGAGTGATCTTTTCGGGGATTTTGAAAATGAGAAACCCAGATGTCTCTCTGCTTTTGTCAACCTAAAAGGTGTGGCGTATGCTGGGAGAGAACGAAGGTACTCCTTTATAACAGTAACAAAGATATTCTCATTATATCAAGAATACTGTTAAGATGCCTCGGTGAAGAATTGATTTCTGGTTTCCGTTTCATCCATCTGTTATCAGCTGGGATACATGAATGGCTTGTTTCATTTCACTTAACGTTTAGAGTGACATTAAAATACAGAGTACTGTAACATAAATGTGATTGTTACCTTCCACGTTGACTAAATGAGCAATAGTTGCTGTTAAAATATTTCAAGGGGTTAAAAACTACTGCTAAAACCTTTGTGTCCAGGAAGAGATGTTTATGTAATGAGCATTTACAGTATGCTCATTAAGTGGGTTTAAAAAAAAAAATCACACCGAGTAAGAGGTGAGATTGGTTTAAGTTTAGCAGGCTGCAGAATCAGGGATATCGTCTTGTTGCTATTTCGCTAGGGCCAAGAGAGATTTTAACTGATGGCAAAGCAAAACAGTTTATAGCTTAACCTTTCTTTGGAGACTATACTTGGGGGGCTGGCAGTGGTGGTGAGGAGTGAGAAAAGAATTCTGGGTTCCAGTATTAGTAAAGTGTCACTTGAAAGGTTAAACTACACATACTTAGGTCCTTTGTGGAGGAGGTACTATCTGAATGTATTTAAATATGTAAGTTATTTAATTAAGGTATTGGAACCTTTTATTTTTGGAAAATAGTTTTAGAAACTGCTAAGATAACAGTAATTGCTGTTTTAAAAAATGATTCTCTAGAATTCTTTTGTTAAAGAAACACCTCCTTTATGAATAGTACTGTCCTAGATGGTATGAAAGAAGTAAATGAGCCGTGTGTGGATGAGAAACACACACATATGTATACATGGAGAAAAAGTGAGCTTTGAGTCAACGTAAGTGTTTATCTTGCTCTGTCATTTATTGGTTGTGAGAACACTGCCAGAATATTCAGCTTCCCTGAGTCTCCATTTAATCATCAGCAAAAGGGATGGGATCACACATTGTTTATTATCTTTTGAATTATGGGAGTGTCCTTAGCACTGTTGTGTGTCACATAGTGTGTGCTCAGTTAATGATGGCTATTAGTGTAAGTGTCTATGTATATAATTTTGTATCACATTTAAATGCAAAGGGAATTCAGAATTGGGGAAAAGTCAGTTTGGGAAGAATTGATAACAGTACTGTATAGGCTTGGTGGTAGGGAGAGAGTATGTGAGTATGGGGGAAGTTATATGCTAGTTGGGAGAGAGAAGGCAGGCAAGGAGGGGAGTGTGAGAGGCAGATGAGCTGGAGCCGGTGAAAGGGAGCAGTAGGCTCTGACTCTGAGGGGACTTTTGCAGAGGTAGAAGCCAGTCCACCTGGGTGGAGTCTCCACTCTGCCATTTGCTGCAGTATAATCTTAGATAAATTACTTAATCTCTCAGTATCTCAATTTTCCCCATCTGTAATCTGGGGAAATACACAGTACCACATACTCTTGTGATGAAAATTAAATGAGTTGATCTATGTCAAGGGCTTGAAACAATGCCTACTGTATAAAAAGACTACAGACATTATTGTTGTTATATTAATCTTATACTATGGAGCTAAAGTGACTATCATCTACACTTAATAGAACCACTATTTATTGTCTGACTCTTGGGAAATTAAAATTCATTCTGCTGTGATTGTCTAGCAGTGGTAATTGGAGAGGAGATGGCAGGAGGATAATAATCTTAACAAGTGGAAGTCAGTTCTTGTTGTAGGAGATCAGGATGACACAAATTGGTTTTATTTACTTTTTAAGTCTTCTGAAATGACACTTTTTAGTGTTCAGTATATATTTTTCTCTTATATAATCTTGAGCAGAAAAAATACAGAAGATTGGGGAATGGAGAATTTAAAAACGACTTTGTCTTTAGTCTTGACTTTCTTTAACCTTAGATGTACTGGGACCTATGCATATGAAGAGCTGCAAAATAGGAAAGTAAGGCAATAATTGCTTAATTGAGGTGCCTTTTCCTCTTTAAAAATGAATTTAGCAAATCATAAAGTGTATAAAAGTGTAAAATATGTGGAGTTAATGTTTCTGTTCATAGTTTTTTGAGAAATGTTTCAAGTTTTGTTAGTAAATAGAATACCTAAATGATGAGTAAATTGTAGTTAGGAAATGATCTTAACATTGTACCAAGTGAAATGGAGAGAGTTTCGCATATCTGGATTCTAGGTCTCTCTACTCATGTGATGCTGGGGAATCTCCTAATCTTTCAGTCTTTTCAAGGCTTTAGTTTTATTTTTCTCCATAAAATGTTGAGTTTGGGTGAACAAATCTCTGTGCTTTTGAAATTCTGGGTTCTTATTTAGTTAACTAGCTGTGTGTCTTTAGTCAAGTATCTTGGGTTCTCCGAGTCTTCTCTGAAAAGGGAGACTAATAATAGTATCTTTAGGGTTTTTGGAATAAATACAATAACATGGCAAATCATTCAGCACAGTGCCATCTATAGAGTAAGTTAATAATAATTGTTACCTGGTTTTATTTGCTGCTATTATTATCTTGTTCTTCCAAAACAAAATTTGTAATTTCTTCATTTTTGCTTGACACATAATCTGGTCTCTTAAGGCTTCAGCACTCCCTACCTCCCACCCCAACCTCAGATTCCCCTCTTCACATTGTGTGGTCTTTAGGTGATAAATGTTGATCCTGTTTTGAGTTGGGGAAACTTCTTTTTATCAGTTGCAAGTTGATTTTTGGGAAATTTGGAGTAATTATTGGGGTTTTGGGTTATGCTTTACCTGCTAACTCTCAGAAGAGAACACATGTGTTTTATAGAATTAGAGGAATTTCCCAGCTTCTAGGCTTTGTTTAGCATCCTGACTTTATTGAGCAGTGTGTCAGATTTTGAGGTGTGTAGGGGGTAGTTGATTGCTCACGTGTTGAGTTTTAGTCAGTCTTACAACCTGTTAGTCTGGACCTGACTCACACCTTGCTTTTTACTCAGAGTTTGTCTTTCGCTGAATGCTTTTTCATTGACTTTTCCTGGGGCAGAGATCCTAGAAGAGATTTCAGGACTCATGTATTATGTTATAGTTAACTGATCCATGTGTGAAGGGCGTGAGTTTAGGTTCCGGAATTGGTGCTCTACTGCAACATCTTGAAGACACTCTCTGCAGTTTTAAGTCACATAAAATAACTCATGTCTGTGAATCTGAAACTATAGGCTTATCTTTTTGTGTGCATCTATTGCTTTACATTTTCAGAGTGATTTACAAATGAATTCTTAGTATTGAAAAATAAAGCACCTCTCCTGATGGTGGTATTTATTGGAGATTATTTTAGTAACACCAGAACTGGATCTGCTGATTACTCCTGTGTAGAAGTGGTAGGCACGCAAGGAAGAGGATGGCCACTTTTGTTAGAGGAGAAGCAGAGAAATTCTAACCTGAGGTCTCTTAAAACTCATTCTTCTTACTCATTCTAACATATGTGCATCTCTCTTTAATGGGATGGGGAAAGTTGCAGTGGTGTAGTGGGGACATTTCTGTTGAATAGGTCAAGAATCCTGTTTTTCCCCTTGATATAATACCATTAGAAGGCAAAGTGATGATGACAGGCAGCTGCCTACTGGGAAGAGATTTTTAATTCACTTGTGAGGCTGAAATATGGGTCTTTGCAAACTTTGAAGTGAAAGTAGTTGTTAATTTGGTTAGGAATTAAACTGGTAACTTTAAAACGGGGGACTGGGTGGGAAGAGAGACTTTTTTTTTCCCAAAGATTTTATTTATTTATTTGATAGAGAGCACAAGCAGGGGCAGTGGCAGAGGGAGAGGGAGAAGCAGGCTCCCCACTGAGCAAGGGAGCCCTGAGTCGGGCTCCCTCCCAGGACCTCGGGATCATGACCTGAGGTGAAGGCAGAACTCGATCAACTGAGCCACACTGGTGCCCTGAAAGGAGATTTTTAAAAAAGCAGTATTGCTTTTTTAATTTTAAAAGTTCCTTTTAATTCTCCATTTTTTTTCTTTCTTTTTTTTTTTTTTTTTTTTGGCAGGGGGAAGGATAGAGGGAGA